TACTTCACTTCCCTTGCAAGAGAGGAGGATCTATCTGGAAAGAGGACCAGTTTCTCATGCATCCCCTGGATGTTCAGCTCTAAGAGCTTAGTGTCCTATAGTCTATTGCCCCATTGCAGAGTTTACCTTCTACCCCTCTTCCAGGGGCACATTGTTATCAGCCAGGGCAGCTTCGGGAGTGGTGTCTCCTCCTCCGAGAGGTGTCGCAGCTGTCTCCTCCCTCAGCTGATCTACCTCTGTTAACAGAAGCATCTGCTGGGGCAGCCTTTTTCCTGTTGACCACCCCTTCCTGTGGTAAATTCCCCACTTTTAAGCTCCGCCTCCTCCAGGCCAAACAAGCCTTGCAGGTGCATCTCATTAGTGAGGAAAAGGATCAGAGGAGCTCATTAATCTCCACCATATCCGAGTGAGGGCATGTCTCTTCACAGTCCCTTTTTTAAAAAAAATTGGGCCTTTTATACTGAATTGGGTGACTCCACCAAAACATTTAAAAAGGAGAGAGCTCATCTTGTTGTAAAATTAATTAATAAACCATTCAAATGCAGTATTAGAACCTAAATAGATTAGGTGAAGTGGATGGGGTGAGATGGAGGATACTGGGAGGATACGGTCACGCTGTCTGGAGTGGCTCACGACTATGAGTGCCAACCTCAGGGCAGACTGTCAAAAAGCAGGGTAGACACCCCAAACCGGTTGTAAGTTCTATTATTAGATTTCACCAACCCAGTAACAAGTGTGAACTCCTGAAGCACTATAACAATCTTACCATGGAGTCACAGACAGTTCCCTTGGGCTCCCAGTCTGTCTTGCCACCCAGGCAAGCTGGACTTAGTGATAAATGGTCACTTACACCAAAGATCAAAAAATATTCAGGTTGCTCCCAGTGCCAAAGGACCAGTCACTTACCCCAGCTCAATTTGTCATGCAGATCTCACACCAAAGACAACACTTGCAGCCAATCCCATTGTAAACTATTTAAGGATTATTAACTAGGCAAAAGAAATGAGAGGGAGTTATTTACAGATTAAAACAGGCAACATATGTGTACAAATGAGTTAGTCTGTGGTTCCAAAAGGTGACAGAGATGTAGTAACCTATCCACTGAATGTCTTTCAGGGCTAATCCAGGTTGACCCTGGGGATCTCTACTTTTGTTTCCTAGCTGCAGCCACATGAGAGTTCAAACAGCAAAGAAATGAAAAAATCTGAATGTCAGCTATCTTTATTTCCCTCTTCCAGAATTCAAACTGAAGGGATGTGTCCTTCTGCATGTAGCCTGTGTAGGGGCAATTAGTAAAGTCTGTGTATTGTGATGCTTCACAATGGCCCACTTAGTCTTGATAATCCTCCTTGATGGGCTGGGGGAACCTCTCCTCCTGTCTGAGTTCAAAGCAGGTATTTTTACAACTATAAAGCAAAACTTTCATATTACCTTATAGCAGGGGTTCCCAAACTTGGTTCATAGCTTGTTCAGGGTAAGCCCCTGGCGGGCTGCAAGACACCTTGTTTACCTGAGCATCTGCAGGTACGGCCGCTCGCAGCTCCCAGTGGCCGCAGTTCGCCATTCCTGGCCAATGAGAGCTGCAGGAAGATGCATACAACATTTCTTGGGGTCATGTTCCTTAGCTTCATATTGAAAACTAGACAAAAAATACTCCCCAGACACAACTGAATGATTTAAAAAGGGCTGGGGCATTTTTTTTTTAAAGAAAAGCTTGCAGACAGTACAAAGAAACAAAAAAATCCAAAATACATACCACAAACAACCACAAGTGCTGGGACAGGTTTACATGTGACCCGGTGTGAAGCAGATTTGTAGAGGGATCCCAGCCCAACTTCTAGCTGTGCACGTGTTATTATTTGTACATGTAATTTTCAGCTATATCTCTGACATGTGCAAATAGCCTTCACAAAATCCATTTGGACTGGATTGGTGCACACAATGGATTTTTCACATGGAAATTTGCATATGCACGTGATAATTTAAAAAAAAAGTGTGCCAGCAAATAAATCAAATTTTGAAGCTTTGATCCATTTGCTTGAAAGCTGAACTGACAATATATTTCTGAAAATTTGAAAGCTTCCCATTCTTCCCCCATTTCCCACCCAAACAACAATTTTTAAACAGAACATCAGACAATCTTGGGAGAAAATAACCCAAGTTACAAGTACTATAGTTTGTCACTGCAGACAAGCCTTTTGCTTTAAAAATATTCCTCTACATTTGCAAGACATTTGTAATGTATTTGTCTTTACAGTAATTACAGTATCTCTCCTGATTCAGCCTGGTGTTACAGAGGTAATTCATTTGTTTTTCCATTTTCATTCTTGTAATTTGCTGCCTCTAAAACATTTTTTAGGAGTAGAGAAATTGTTAAGTGTTGAAACTTAATAAAGCATACATTTTCTTGTACTAAAATGTTTTATGGAAAGACAAGAATAAAAAAAGGTTTGTTGTTTATAAAGAACAGTGTATTTGCACAATTTGTATACAAATATGTAAGAAGAAAATAATTGTGTTGTTTTAATTCATTGATGTTCTACTAAGGTTGGTTGTTTCATTGTTTCCCCTCAACCTATTAGCGTTGCATCAAATGAATATTGGTTGATTACAGATTGTCAACTCTGGCTCTTGCTGACACCACCTTACTCACTAGGCCCATGGAAGTTTGATAGCTGTTCTTTCACCTTTGGTACTGATCTAGTTGAACTGTGTGTTTGCCACCACAAAGGTACCTCCATGATGTTGTTCCTGCTGGTGCTGCATTGCTCTGATTTCCTTTCTCAGTTCTCCTTACTGGAGCAAAATGAGATGACTTAGGCGATGTCTACACTACAGACCTTACAGCGGCACAGCAGCGCTGGTGTAAGGTCTCCTGTGCAGCCACTCTGCCAACGGAAGAGAGCTCTCCTGCTGGCATAATTGAACCACCCCCAACGAGCGGCAGTAGCTATGTCAGCAGGAGACTCTCTCCGGCCAACACAGTGCTGTCCACACTGGCGCTTTTGTTGGTGAAACTTATGTCGGTCGAGATGTGCTTTAAATTATGGCTGAGGAGAGAGAGAGAGGAAGTCATATTTAATAAGAGTAATGAAACCAGTCTGCTCAAGCAAACAATCAGCAGCATGTCACTAGTACTTTTAAGAGACAGAAGGATCTGAATTGTTTTATAATTACTTCACAGCAGTAATAGCCTTACACCATATGTAGTCCCAGTGACTTCAGTGAGACTAATAATGGTAGGACATTCTATTAAATACACATAAAGGTTGATCTTTGTGTCCTTTTTAATATAACCCACCCCACGCGCACACGCACACAAAATCACCACATGCATTTGTCAATGCCCTAAAAGTAATTACCATTCTGATTCTTAGGCTTGATTCTGATATCACTTACATTAGTGTAACTCTACAGACTTCAATGGACTTACTCCTGAGTTACGCCAACAGGTGGGAGATCAGAATCAGGCCACAAATTTGCTGAAACTCCTATATTTGTAAAAGCTTGGGTTATGGAGTAATTTTAACTAAGTCAAGTTTCTGAACTCTATGTAGTCTGAAATGAATCACAAAGAGACCATAATTTGAAGCAAAATAAGCAAACACAGTGAATATAGGCTTCCAAGTTTGTGGGAAACTAGAAAGTTTCATTTGGCCGTCACAAACTGAGCATCAGAAGGAAAGTTACTTCAATTTCTATTTCAGTCATCATACTGCTGTTTGTTCAGTGTCCTTATCAAATGTGGGGCATTACAAATAAAGAGATAGTTATTGCATTTTGCCCCAGGAGGGGGGGAAAAAGGGAGAACGAGTGTAACATTACAATTTAATCTTAGAGTGATTCACATGGTCAAAGGCTGTACATTTAAAAATTACTTCTTTTTGGACTTGCTGTGGAAGGACCTTTTTATACTTTCAGAAAGCAGTTGCCATTTGCAAGGGTGGGATATGCTTTTCAGTTACTCAGTCATCTTTGTTCTGTACATTTTCCTTTCTGCAAGCTAACAAACAGGCAAGTACATTGTGAAGTACATTACACTATTTGTTTTTCTGCTTGCCTGCATAGATGTACGTTAATTCATACCCTTCCTTCTCCTCCTCTAAAGAAATGTCGAAGGACCTTGCCAGCCACTTGGGGCTATTGCTACCTCCTTCCCAATCACAGGGTATTGCATACATACTACTGACTGATTGCAGTATACAAAGAGTTATCTGATCACACAATATTAGTTTCAATCACCATTCTTTTCATCATTACAGCAGAGTGATACTTTTGTAACCATGTACAAAAATATTGAGTGACTCTACAAACAACTCCCATGTGCAAATACTCTGAATTTCAGCTTTTCTTGATGTGACTTTCCACAAAGTACAGACTTGGTCAATTGTTGCTTATATTTAGCCATCTTAATCTTGTTTTATGTTCAGTTTTATTATAAAAACTACCTACTACAGCTATGACACAGTATTATTTCCCAACAAACCCACACATTGGTATTTGCAACTCTTCCTTTGAGACTCTCTTCCATCCAAACAACTCGAATCTTTTCCCCTTCCTCCTAATATTTTGCTACACCATTTCTCCTTGTGACATTGCACTCCATATGATTTTATGAAAATATGCTAATGAGTGTGAATATAATGTAACTGGAATATGCTTCATGCAAAAGGTCTCTTGTAAGCTATCATTACAAAGCTTATAATCTACTGAGTGTGGTCATCCTATTTGTATAAATGTATCACTCTTGTATCTGAAACTAGAAATATGAAATATAACTCTGAGGTCCTATTGTCATTATGCAAAGTGTGGGCCATTAATGGTGGTTTGGAATCTTGATGGCTCCCATCAACTAGGACAATTGGTTGTAAATAGCTCTGTTTACTTGCAAGCCTTTCTGTGAGTCAGGCCAGGAAGAATGAAGGCTGGGGTCTCACAGGACATGTGACCATGTCACCTGGTACTGGAATCCATCTTAAACCTGGTTCTTTTTCATTTAGAAGGAGGGGTGGAGACCCAGAGAGACAAAAGATTCCCGCCTTGTGCCAAAGGTATATAAGAGGGTGGAACAGAACAAGGAGGTTCCAGTTATGAGAAATCCCCTAGTTACCACCTGAGCTGGAGCGAAAAAGAACTGCACCAGAAGAAAGAATTGGGCCCAGACTAGGAAGGAGTCCAGTCTTTGAAAGAAGCTTATTGGAACATCTCTGAGGGTGAGATTTTATCTGTAATCAATTTCTTACTGTATTAGGCGTGTTTTGTTTTATTTTGCTTGGTAACTTACTTTATTCTGTTTGTTATTACTTGGAACCACTTAAATCCTACTTTTTATATTTATTAAATCACTCTTGCTTATTAATTAACCCAGAGTAAGTAATTAATACCTGGGGGAGCAAACAGCTGTGCATCTCTCTATCAGTGTTATAGAGGGCAGACAATTTATGAGTTTACCCTGTATAAGATTTATACAGAGTAAAACGGATTTATTTGGGGTTTGGATCCCTTTGGGAGCTGGGTGTCTGGGTGCTGGAGACAGGAGCACTTCTTAAGCTGTTTTCAGTTAAGTCTGCAGCTTTGGGGCATGTGGTTCAGACCCTGGGTCTGTGTTGGAGCAGACTGGCATGTCTGGCTCAACAAGACAGGGTTCTTGAGGCGCAAACTGGCAGAGAAAATGGGCTCAGAGGTAGTCTCAGCACATCAGGTGACAGGCCCAAGGGGGTTTCTGTGATCAAACCCATCACACTCCTCTCCAGTGCTAAGCTAAGGGCTTTCAGCCATGCTCTTCAGAAAGATCCTCTATAAACCAGACATTATTTGATCACAAGAACTCCATTGCATTTGTGATTAATGATTGGAGACGCTCAAGAGGTTCAGAAGTTCTGTTCACATAATCATCTGAACTTTTTAATGCTTATCTTCAGCTTAACCAAGTCCCTCTGGTTAAGAGATCAAACTGGTAACCTTACAAAAACAAGCTCTGCTGAGACTTTTACTAAAGCCTCAGTTTAGTCAGGTTGTTTTTGTACTCTCCAAACAAGTCTGCCATTCTCCAATTATCAAGGGATAAAATTCAGCAGAATGCAGAAGGCCTATTTGATACAATACACTCCATAGATCTAATTCATGGAAGTATTTTATGATTTTCTTAAGTCCATCCCTATTCTGCACAGCATTTAACTTTTAGCATGTGTTTAAGTTCTATATCTTTCAATGGTTCTTAAGCCCTTGCAGAATCATAGAATCATAGAACTGGAAGGGACCTCGAGAGGTCATCTAGTCCACTCCCCTGCACTCAAGGCAGGACTAAGTATCATCTAGACCATCCCTGTCAGGTGTTTGTCCAACCTGCTCTTAAAAATCTCCAATGATGGGGATTCCACAACCTCCCTAGGCAATTTATTCCAGTGCTTAACCACTCTGACAGTTAGGAAGTTTTTTTTAATGTCCAACCATAACCGCCCTTGCTGCAATTTAAGCCCATTGTTTCTTGTCCTATCCTCAGAGATTAAGAACAACAATTTTTCTCCCTCTTCCTTGTAACAACCTTTTATGTACTTGAAACCTGTTATCATGTCCCCTCTCAGTCTTCTCTTCTCCGGACTAAACAAACCCAGTTTTTTCAATCTTCCCTCATAGGTCATGTTTTCTAGACCTTTAATCATTTTTGTTGCTCTTCTCTGGACTTTCTCCAATTTGTCCACATCTTTCCTGAAATGTGGCACCCAGAACTGAACACAATACTTCAGTTGAGGCCTAATCAGTACGGAGTAGAGCAGAAGAATTACCTCTCGTGTTTTGCTTACAAATACATCCCAGAATGATGTTTGCATTTTTTGCAATAGTGTTACACTGTTCCTTCCTAAGTGGAGTACTTTGCATTTGCCTTATTGACAAATTTACTTCAGACCATTTCGCCAGTTTTTCCAGATCATTTTGAATTTTAATCCTATTCTCCAAAGAACTTGCAACTCCTCCCAGCTTGGTATCATCTGCAAACTTTATAAGTGTACTCTCTATGTCATTATCTAAATCACTGATGAAGATATTGAACGGAACTGGACCCAGAACCATTCCCTGTGGGACCCCACTCGTTATGCCCTTCCAGCATGACTGTGAACCACTGATAACTACTCTCTGGGAACGATTTTCCAGTTATGCACCCACCTTATAGTAATCCATCTAGGTTGTATTTCCCTAGTTTGTTTATGAGAACGTCATGCAAGACAGTATCAAAAGCCTTACTGAAGTCAAGAAGTTCTGTCCTGAACAGAGATGCTGTTTTTTCCAGTGAATTTTTTTCTGTGAAGATTGTGGTAACTAGTAGATTCTAAAGCAAAGAAAAATCTGGATAATATTCAGCTAAAGAAAACATGACTAAGTGCAATTAATGTGTTGTGATAGCATAAAAGTGACGTAGTCAAAACTGTTGTAGAAACCACAATGAAAGGGCTTCCTACCCTTACATACAACGAAGGCAGTTTTCTAGGACTCATTTGGTGTATTTCTTTTAGAATGGCTCTTGCCCTGCCATATGGCTTCTGATGGTCATAAACAGGAACCAAATCACCTCAGTAATTAGCTTTGAATCAGCATTCACTACCCAGCAGGCAGTTAAAAGCCCAATTATGGCTGTCTCTGTGTGGCTATCAGGATTACCCATTCCGCACACTACTTCCAATCAGGAGGCAGCAATAATTCAGCTACCTGAACTGATAGTGCAAGGAGGAGCTGGAAGTGCTGCCTCGCACTGCTCAAATTCCCAGTGGGGCATATCTGGGTGAGGTGCATATGGCTATGTCCTGCCCCCTTCTGTATATTGGCAAGTTGCTAGGGGGCTACATATGTTACTAAATGTGTAGTAAGGACAACTGTTCAGGGTGCTCCCATCTCCCTAGCATTATAGAAGTATTATTATGTTCCTGACTTACATATGCAGACTGCTGCCCTCCACCCCAAATTTAAAGCCATCAGTCATGCTAACTGAGCCCACAATAAGGCAATAAGGCTGGTGGCATGAATTCAACCTGATTTTATTTACTGTGTGTCACAAGCAAAGGTGGCGTTTGATTTTTCTCTTCAATACTGACTCATAGAATGCAGTCAAGTCCCCCAATTTGTGCCTGTTGCTCTAACTCAGTACTTCATTTACAGGAAGATGGATTGAATGGTCTAATAGACTGATTGAATCCTAGATGTTTAGAGATGGAAAAATCAGTGATCAAGACATGCTGGTAACTGATGGCTTTAAAGGGATTAGAAACCAGAAATTTATAATATGAGAAAACAAAATGCCTCATTCAGACTTTGCTTTGTTTCAGAATGCTCTATGAAACCACCATGCATTATACTGATAAGAAAACAGAATGAGAGAGTTGGTTTATTTTCCTTAGGGAAGATTCCTTTCAAACTGCCTGTTGCAGCTATTCAGCTTAATCAATAACACTTATCTGATTCAGTGTGGTGTTGCAACTTCAGACACATTCTTTATAAAAAAAAATAAGAAACCTTGAAAAGCAGTTTTACTGGTAAATATCCATTTACATGTATAGAACTGTGTAAGCCTACATAAGACCATTTAGTAATCTCAGTAGTGAGGGCATTCATTACTAAATGTATTTTTTTTTTGTAACAAGCATCACTGAAGCAAAATGCTATATCAGGGGTCGGCAACGTTCGGCACGCGGCTCGCCAGGGTAAGCACCCTGGCGGTCTGGGCCAGTTTTATTTATCTGCTGACACGGCAGGTTCGGCCGATCGTGGCCTCCACTGGCCGCGGTTCGCCGTCCCGGGCTAATGGGGGTGGTGAGAAGCGGCGCGGGCGAGCGATGTGCTGGGAGAGGGTTTATTTTTTTTCACCACAATGGATGACGTAGTGCGGGCACTGATACAAGCTACGGCAGCCCAGCAGGAGGCTACCCGTGTCCAGGCAGCTGCCCAACAGGAGGCAGTGCGACTACAGCAAGAGACTAATCGCCTGCTGATGGACCAGGCTGCTCAAGACAGAGCTATGTTGCGGGAACTGGTAAACCAGGTAAAGTCCCTTACAGAGCTGAATCGCTGCCATGATGGGACGTGGCTCATATGGGCCAGCCAGTGGCTGCAGAAAATGACACGGGAGGATGATATAGAGGCATACCTTCTGGCCTTTGAGAGGACAGCCCTACGGGAGGCCTGGCCTCAAGATCAGTGGTCTGGCATCCTTGCCCCATTCCTGTGTGGGGAGGCCCAGGAGGCCGACCATGATCTGCCTGAAGAGGCTGCGGGAGACTACCCCCAGCTGAAAGCAGAGATCCTGGCAAGATCTGGGGTAATGACAGCAGTGCGGGCCCGGCAGTATCACGGTTGGAGGTACCAGAAAGACAAAACCCCGCGGTCCCAATTGTATGACCTCATCCATCTCGCTGCACTAGAGTAATCAGGAACCTGCTAGAACCAGTTAAGGCAGGCAGGCTAATTAGAACACCTGGAGCCAATTAAGAAGAAGCTGCTAGAATCAATTAAGGCAGGCTAATCAGGGCACCTGGGTTTTAAAAAGGAGCTCACTTCAGTTTGTGGTGGGAGTGTGAGGAGCTGGGAGCAAGAGGTGCAAGGAGCTGAGAGGGTATGCTGCTGGAGGACTGAGGAGCACAAGTGTTATCAGACACCAGGAGGAAGGTCCTGTGGTGAGAATAAGGAAGGTGTTTGGAGGAGACCATGGGGAAGTAGCCCAGGGAGTTGTAGCTGTCATGCAGCTGTTACAGGAAGCACTATAGACAGCTGCAGTCCACAGGGCCCTGGGCTGGAACCCGGAGTAGAGGGTGGGCCCAGGTTCCCCCCAAACCT